TCATTCTCAGTTCTAATTAATGGAGGCCCCTTTGGAAACTTTCATGCACAAAGAGGTCTTAGACAGGGTGACCCCTTCTCCCCCTCACTCTTTGTTATTTGCACTGAAATTCTGTCTAGATTGGTACACAGGGAAACATTATTGGGGAATCTCAAAGGCATCAAAATCTCTAGGAGCTGTGAACCTAGCAGCCATCTCATGTTTGCAGATGACCTCCTCATCTTTGCAAAAACAACTACAAAGGAAGCTACAACTATCAAGCACCGTCTCTTAACATATGCTCAATGGTCTGGACAAGAGATTAACTGTGAGAAATCCAGAGTGCACTACAGCCCAAGTGTCCATCATTCAATAATCAGACCTATCAAGCAGATTCTAAGGATAAGGAAAGGACCTCTGGAGGCAACTTACCTGAGACTACCTCTCTTCATCAATAGATCCAGAACAAGCTCTTTCCACCCAGTTCTGCAAAAACTTGAGATGAAGCTGCAGGGTTGGAAAGCCAAATTACTCTCCTATGCAGGGAGAGCAACTTTGATAAAGACAACTACTCTAGCAATGCCCATTTATGTCATGCAGTCTTTTCTACTGCCACATAACATTTGCAACAAGATGGATAGAACAATCAAGAATTTTTGGTGGGGACACACTGATGAGAAACATGCTCTAAATCTGAAATCTTTGGATTCATTATGTTTACCAAAGGAAATTGGAGGACTAGGGTTCAGAAGGACTGTTGATGTAAACAAAGCATTAATGGCCAAGCTGGGATGACAATTAATCTCTAGCACCAGCAAACTATGGACTACTCAGCTTAGGAGGAAATACTGCTCCAGAAGTTCATTTTTCTACACTTGTAAACAGCCACATGATTCCCAAATCTGGAAGCAAATATTAGATTGTAGATCCATCATTGAACAAGGTGCTTGCTACTTTGTGGGGAATGGCTAGTCTATAAACATCTGCACTGAACCTTGGGTGCCTAATTTGCCAACATTCAAAGTTCATTTGCAGCAAGATTCAAAGAGCCTCCTTAGCCTTGTATCTAAGCTAATAGATGGGATACCAACAGTTGGAACTTAACATTGTTGTCCTCACTGTTCAGTCAAGAAGTCACACAAGCTATACAAAGAATACATATCCCAATTTTTCAGAGAGAAGACAAGCTAATGTGGACACAAAATAAGAATGGAGATTTTGACTGCAAATCTGCTTACAGAACTCATAGATCTATACAGGACTTACAAAGCTCTTATCTAACAGAAAGTGACTGGAGAAGATTATGGCAGGCACCAATCCATGAGAGGCATAAGATGTTTTTGTGGAGAAAGACTGCGGAATGCCTACCTACCCGAACATTACTAGCTAGCAGATTTCCTATACCAGACATACTCTGTCCCATATGCCACCAATGTCCAGAAACTGCAACCCATCTGTTTTTCCTTTGCCCCTTGCCCAGGATGGTATGATTCACAAAATGGGGACTTCGCATAGATTCTTTCTCTCATCTTAGTCTACAAGAATGGATTTAAAACATTCTCCATCCTACAATACTTTTTGGACCTAATAGCCCCCCCTTGCAATGAACTGCTGCTCTTCACAACTATATTAGCTTGCAATATCTGGACTTGGAGGAATAAAGCTCTCCACGACAAGCAGTTAGTCATGCCACATTAACTTCTTCAACAAGTTCTGAATGCTTTTAATGAATTCAGTGAGGTTAAACTCCATCCAAAGGTCCCAACAACCATGAGCCCATCAGAAACTTGGAAAACTCCACACGAAGGATTTATAAAGATTAATATTGATGTAGCAGTGGGAAACAGAAAATCATGTGTTGCAGCAATTGCTCGACTACAAGATGGCTCAGTTTTAGGAAGTATACTAGGGATTGTGGCAGAAACAGACCCCCTGATATTAGAGGCTCTAGCCGCAAGTTAAGCAGTGAAATGGGCTAATGATGAGCAATGGTCTTATGTGCTCATAGAAGGAGACTCACAGAACGTTGTCCACTCTATCATGCTTTCTCATCTCAAACCTCACTAGTCTGTGAGCTCGATCATACAAGATATTAAGGGCATTCTTCATCAACATACACGTAGGACTGCAAATGGTGCAGCACATGAACTAGCAAGATGGGGACTTGCTATGGGCTATCCTGGAACATTGCAATTTGACCAATTGCCAATCTCAACAAAGAATCAAGTAGAGTTGGATGCATGCCCCATAAACTAGCTTAGAATTACTGGGTTTTAATTACCATCTTTAATTTACTGTATTGCTCTCTTATATCTTAATTTTCAATATCAGAAAAAAAAAAATTAACTTTTCTTCTATTTTCTTTTCGATTTTAGAGAGATTTATTTTGGTGAATTAGAAGGAAAATTAATTCATCCACGTTTTCATCTTCCTATTTTGCTTCTTATCAAATATGATATTTTATTTATCTCTCTAACTTTCTATCCCATCAATTTTCTATCCTTTCAACTTTTCATCTTTCCATTCCATGGGAACATTAATTTCCTCTCTCTCCCTGTTTCTCTCCCAACTCTCTCTCACGCCTCTCTNTTTGTGGGGAATGGCTAGTCTATAAACATCTGCACTGAACCTTGGGTGCCTAATTTGCCAACATTCAAAGTTCATTTGCAGCAAGATTCAAAGAGCCTCCTTAGCCTTGTATCTAAGCTAATAGATGGGATACCAACAGTTGGAACTTAACATTGTTGTCCTCACTGTTTAGTCAAGAAGTCACACAAGCTATACAAAGAATACATATCCCAATTTTTCAGAGAGAAGACAAGCTAATGTGGACACAAAATAAGAATGGAGATTTTGACTGCAAATCTGCTTACAGAACTCATAGATCTATACAGGACTTACAAAGCTCTTATCTAACAGAAAGTGACTGGAGAAGATTATGGCAGGCACCAATCCATGAGAGGCATAAGATGTTTTTGTGGAGAAAGACTGTGGAATGCCTACCTACCCGAACATTACTAGCTGGCAGATTTCCTATACCAGACATACTCTGTCCCATATGCCACCAATGTCCAGAAACTGCAACCCATCTGTTTTTCCTTTGCCCCTTACCCAGGATGGTATGATTCACAAAATGGGGACTTCGCATAGATTCTTTCTCTCATCTTAGTCTACAAGAATGGATTTAAAACATTCTCCATCCTACAATACTTTTTGGACCTAATAGCCCCCCCTTGCAATGAACTGCTGCTCTTCACAACTATATTAGCTTGCAATATCTGGACTTGGAGGAATAAAGCTCTCCACGACAAGCAGTNACCCAGGATGGTATGATTCACAAAATGGGGACTTCGCATAGATTCTTTCTCTCATCTTAGTCTACAAGAATGGATTCAAAACATTCTCCATCCTGCAATACTTTTTGGACCTAATAGCCCCCCTTGCAATGAACTGCTGCTCTTCACAGCTATATTAGCTTGCAATATCTGGACTTGGAGGAATAAAGCTCTCCACGACAAGCAGTNTCTAATTGCTCAATGAAAAGTGAAGGTAGTCTACCCGTATCGTCAAAGAAGATATCATGATGCTACCATTACCAACAACCACCTGATCATGCCACTGAGATTCTTAAGCCTGTACGCCTCCAACCCTTCATTTGGAATTATTGCTACCCACTGCACTTGAACCACTGATGCTACCATTGGTGTCTCTGATTCCGGTGCTTCTTCANGTTAGTCATGCCACATTAACTTCTTCAACAAGTTCTGAATGCTTTTAATGAATTCAGTGAGGTTAAACTCCATCCAAAGGTCCCAGCAACCATGAGCCCATCAGAAACTTGGAAAAACTCCACACGAAGGATTTATAAAGATTAATATTGATGCAGCAGTGGGAAACAGAAAATCATGTGTTGCAGCAATTGCTCGACTACAAGATGGCTCAGTTTTAGGAAGTATACTAGGGATTGTGGCAGAAACAGACCCCCTGATATTAGAGGCTCTAGCCGCAAGTTAAGCAGTGANACAACCATGAGCCCATCAGAAACTTGGAAAACTCCACACGAAGGATTTATAAAGATTAATANACTAATTGCTCAATGAAAAGTGAAGGTAGTCTACCGGTATCGTCAAAGAAGATATCATGATGCCTGATCATGCCCCTGAGATTCTTAAGCCTGTACGCCTCCAACCCTTCATTTGGAATTATTGCTACCCACTGCACTTGAACCACTGATGCTACCATTGGTGTCTCTGCTTCCGGTGCTTCTTCAACACAAAGACAGATTGCTTGAGTTGTTAGCCTTTGTGTTTGCCTTATTTTATTTCTGGGGAATGCTTTACTNGGATTGTGGCAGAAACAGACCCCCTGATATTAGAGGCTCTAGCCGCAAGTTAAGCAGTGAAATGGGCTAATGATGAGCAATGGTCTTATGTGCTCATAGAAGGAGACTCACAGAACGTTGTCCACTCTATCATGCTTTCTCATCTCAAACCTCACTAGTCTGTGAGCTCGATCATACAAGATATTAAGGGCATTCTTCATCAACATACACGTAGGACTGCAAATGGTGCAGCACATGAACTAGCAAGATGGGGACTTGCTATGGGCTATCCTGGAACATTGCAATTTGACCAATTGCCAATCTCAACAAAGAATCAAGTAGAGTTGGATGCATGCCCCATAAACTAGCTTAGAATTACTGGGTTTTAATTACCATCTTTAATTTACTGTATTGCTCTCTTATATCTTAATTTTCAATATCAGAAAAAAAAAAATTAACTTTTCTTCTATTTTCTTTTCGATTTTAGAGAGATTTATTTTGGTGAATTAGAAGGAAAATTAATTCATCCACGTTTTCATCTTCCTATTTTGCTTCTTATCAAATATGATATTTTATTTATCTCTCTAACTTTCTATCCCATCAATTTTCTATCCTTTCAACTTTTCATCTTTCCATTCCATGGGAACATTAATTTCCTCTCTCTCCCTGTTTCTCTCCCAACTCTCTCTCACGCCTCTCTCGCCCTCATATCTTTATGCCCTCTTTTGTGAAGCTGCCCCGTCCAACTGCATTCTGCATTCAACAGCCACATCTATTCTCTCTCTGTGCCGCTAAACAGCCGCCACCAACAACAGCCAGCAGCTGCCCAGCCACCTGTTTCAGGATATCTCTCAATCATCTCATCTATCTCACGCAACTCATCTCCATCAATCATCTCTTGCTCTCTATTTTTTCTCTCCCCCTCTGTCACCCGAAAAGCCCCGTTGTTATTCCTCCCAGCCTGTGCACACCAGATGTTCGACAAATGGCCAACCCGAAATTGTTGGTTNTCTAGTCCTATACTATAAAAAAAAAAACATTTTTTTAAGTATTATTCTCAATACAAGAGATTCAAGTAAGGACCAGTGGAACTTTCTCATCATCGGTCAAGTGAGGTTCGGCTGAAATTTGCTTATTCCTCTCTAACACTTTCTCGTGTCTATTCCTTTTTAACAGATAGTTACTGGTCCGACTACCAAACACTAATTGCTCAATGAAAAGTGAAGGTAGTCTACCGGTATCGTCAAAGAAGATATCATGATGCCTGATCATGCCCCTGAGATTCTTAAGCCTGTACGCCTCCAACCCTTCATTTGGAATTATTGCTACCCACTGCACTTGAACCACTGATGCTACCATTGGTGTCTCTGCTTCCGGTGCTTCTTCAACACAAAGACAGATTGCTTGAGTTGTTAGCCTTTGTGTTTGCCTTATTTTATTTCTGGGGAATGCTTTACTCTAACATATTACTATTAAGTTATTATGGTAGTTCGAATGGGGTTTTTAAATTACAACTTTGGTACTCGAATACTTGCAGGGTTTCATCAAGAAAGCCGGCCAATCCATTGAAAACATACATTCTCAAGGTAAAAAAAAATTCTAAAATTACATTTTTGAGTTTAACTTGGTTTTTAGAGTGGAATAAGAAGATGAAATCATGAATCTTTGCCCTTAAATATTGCTTTAATCACCCCAAAAAGGTTAAATTTTTTGTCGGTTTATGGTACATAATTTCATTAGGCAGAGTTGATGCTATTTCGAGTCATCTTTCTAACCTGAACATTTTTTAATATGGTGATTAAAAATTTAGATTTCTCTCAATTGCTACATTTTTCTTAATATGGATTGGACCTTTTTGGAGTACGTGGGATGAGTCATGAGGACTGTAGTGCACTTTAGTTAGCATAACTTTATCAAGAAGCTTATTGTTGAACTTGAATCAGTTCATGGTAAGAATTTTATTTCAAGTATTATGCTTGAGTTTGGTATTTTAATTCACATGCCTTACTTTTTTTTCCCATTACTGTTTAAATGATTTTGTTTTTCAATTAAATTGGGTTTTCTCTCCCTTCCAACTCTCTTCCTTCACTTTTCCCCCAAATTTGTAGGAACAAATTTGTCTGCTTTCATATTACTGGTGAAGGGTTGTGATCTATTTATTGACCAAGGAATTTCATGTATTTGTTATAGGCTAATCCCCATAAGGTGAGAGATAATGAGTGAGTTTTGATATTTAGAATAATATGAATATTTTGATTTTTGTCGTGGTTTCAGTTTGTTATTGATTTGTTTGTTTGTTGTGAGTTGACTATAGAAGCATCACAACACCTTGAGGTAGTAGTAATCTTTATGATTGATTGGTGTATGAAAAATATGGGGCTTTCTTTGCGATGACAAAGTTATCAAATTTGCATTTGAATAATATGGTTTTTATTTTTAAAAAAAATTTAGTGTCGGTGGCGTGACAATGGAACGTGGGAGGATTTGTGTGCACGTTACGGGGTCTATTTTTTGGGGAATTTTTGTCCATTTCTTTTGAATTTTTTGGGCATAGAACATTCGATGCCTTTAATACATTATGTGTGTCACTTCCCTCTTTTTCTCATGCTCATTTTTCTTGATTGTCATGTATTCTTATTACATACTGCCTTTAGGTATGAGCATATTTGTATTTAAGAGTGCATATTTGTATTTGTATTTCATACAAATTAAGTCCAATGTTTAATTTTGAGTATAAAGTTTTATATGTTTTTTGGGTCAAAAGATTGTAATTCTTTAGGGGTCATGTTTTTGAAAAAAATTGTCAATTTTTTTTTAAAATAATAGTCGACTTATATTGGTTCGCTTCGCTTTTTTCTTTTTTTTTTTCTTCAATTTTTTAATTGATGAGTTTGTGTTATGTTGGACACATTAATTGGTGGTTCTTTTCTCAATTTTTTTGATTGACGATTTTTTTGTATTATATGGTATCTTCAAGCATGAGGATTAAATGATTAATGACTAAAAAAAAAGGCCTAAGAATTTGCTTACGATTTTTTTATTTATTATACAGTTTCTTCAAGCACAAACAATTATTAGTAATAACTAACTTATGTAAAGATATGAATTTTATTTTATCCATTTCATTATTTCTTACTAAATGATAAACATAATATTAGTATTACATTGAATATTTACTCCTACTCGATCTCCCATCGCCCAAAAAAAAAAATGTTTCATTTCTAAATTGTTATCCACTGTTCATTTTCTTCGTCATTTTTAATGTTTGATTCTCAAGGGATTTACACGTATGGGAAGGTTTAACCGCTTTGTACATGCAAATAGCATTCCTAAACGAGATTTTTTTTTTTTTTGAGTAAATGGTATTTTTGGTTCTTAAAATTATGTATTTTTTTAATTTTAGTTTTACTATATTAATTTTGTCTTTAAAGTATTCAATTTATATAACTTTAGTCCCAATATAAACTGACCATTAAGTTTTTTGACAGATGTAACTACGTGTTGTGTCAAAAAACTTAATGACCTTTTTTTGTAGGGATTAAAATGACAAAAATTCATATTTTAGGGATTAAATTGACAAAATTAATACAATAAAGATTAAATAAATAAAAAAATTATACTTTAAAAACCAAAAGTACTATAAATTCAAAAAATTTGATAGAAATTTCAAAGACCCACGACCTAATAGTACATGATTGAATTTATATCCGTACAATACTTGAGATCCCAAATAATTAGAGCACCTATTAAAAAAAAAAATTAATGAAACTCATTGATCTAAAAATTCATACTCATTTGGGATCCCAATTTTGGAATTTCAAGCATTGCTGTTTATACTAATGTTTTAATTTGGAGAAAACCACCTCTCCTCCGGTTTGAGATCCTTTCCATTATTTTTTCATGTAATTTTACTTAATAGTAGATCATTCATCATGTATTCACGTGTGATCTATTATATATATATAAACCCCTTGTTATACGCGGTGAATGATTTATTATTGAGTAAAATTATATGAAAAAATAATAAAGAAGATCTATATCCCTCTTCTCCTACCTAACAATCTTAGTTTGTCCCGATATATAGATAGTCGGGGTTATCTCACATTGGATAACCTTAGATTGTGTCAGTGGGTTATAAGGTTTCCACTCACTATTGCTTTAAGTAGTAGTGTTTGGTTGATCTCTAATAAAAAAAAAATATGGTGTTTTTCGGGGCGATTTCATGTGGACTCAATTGCATCTCACTTTAGGCCTATTTCAACGTACGAGGGGACCTTTGGGCTTAGGTGGATGATGGGCTGAGGTCATCCCACACCGGATAATTTTAGGTGTGTGAGTGGGTTATAAGGTTTCCACTCACTAGCCCTTTTAAGTAATAGTGTTTGGTTGATCTCTAATAAAATATATATATATATAGCCAAAGCCTGGACTTAAATAGTGACTTTGCCATAGCCTCTCATCCTACCTAACAATCTCTACTTGTTCAATCTGTCCCAATATATAGCCAAAGCCTGGACTTAAATAGTGACTTTGCCATAGCCTCTCATCCTACCTAACAATCTCTACTTGTTAAATCTGTCCCAATATATAGCCAAAGCCTGGGCTTAAATAGTAAGATTGCCATATAGCTTGAAAGAGAGGGAGAGGGAGAGAATGGATAATCAGCCAACTGAGCTTCACGTTGTCATGTTCCCATTTCTGGCATTTGGTCACATAAGCCCATTCGTGCAGCTATCCAACAAGCTCTCCTCTCATGGCGTCCGAATCTCTTTCTTCTCCGCTGCCGGCAATGTCCACCGCATCAAAGCTATGCTCCACCATAGTCAGACCATCCAAATCATTCCCCTCACAATCCCACACGTCGATGGTCTCCCTCCAGGTCTCGAGAGCACAGCCGAAATGACACCCTCCGCATCTGAACTCCTTAAGGTTGCTATAGACCTAATGCAACCTCAAATCAAGACCCTTTTATCACAACTCAAACCCCATTTTGTTCTCTTCGATTTTGCCCAAGAATGGCTCCCACCACTAGCTTCTGAACTGGGCATCAAAACCATATTCTTCTCCGTCTTCATCGCCCTCACCACCGCCTTTTGTACTGTACCTGCAAGACTTACTGACACCACAAAACCTCCCACGACCATTGAAGAAATGAAGAGACCTCCACCTGGATTCCCTAAAACCTCAATCACCTCTCTTAAAACCTTCGAGGCTCGAGATTTCCTGTATATTTTCAAAAGCTTCCATGGCGGAGCTAGTGTATACGACCGAGTTCTCACCGGCCTCAAAGGCTGCACTGCCATACTTGCCAAGACTTGCAATGACATGGAAGCACCTTATATAGACTACGTGAAGACCCAGTTTGATAAACCGGTTCTTCTGGTGAGTCCTGTTGTTCCGGAGCCACCGTCCGGTGAACTAGAGGAGAGATGGGCTAAGTGGTTGGGTCAGTTTCCGTCCAACTCCGTCATTTACTGTTCATTTGGAAGTGAAACATTCTTAAAACATGATCAGATAAAAGAGCTATCACTAGGGTTAGAACTCACCGGCTTTCCATTCTTTCTGGTCTTGAATTTTCCGGCGGGTGTTGACGGCTCGGCCGAGTTGGATAAGGCCTTGCCAGAAGGGTTACTGGAGAGGGTGAAGGGTAGGGGACTTATCCACACAGGGTGGGTTCAGCAGCAACACATTTTGGCTCAAAATAGTGTGGGCTGTTACTTATGCCATGCAGGGTTCAGCTCAGTAATAGAAGCTCTTGTGAATGACTGTCAGTTAGTAATGCTGCCTCAAAAAGGTGACCAATTCTTGAACTCTAAGCTCATGAGTTTGGACCTGAAGGCTGGTGTGGAGGTAAATAGGAGGGATGAGGATGGGTATTTTGGGAAAGAGGATGTCTTTAAGGCTGTCAAAACAGTTATGTTAGAGTTTGATGAAGAACCTGGGCAGTCCATAAGGGCAAATCAGAGAAGATGGAGGGATTTTCTACTTAACAAGGAAGAACAGAGCAGGTATGTAGGAGATCTGGTTAAGGACATGAAAGCCATGGTCGACCTTCACAACATTTAAATTCATGATTTGAACAAGTAGAAAAAAAAAAGGTTGGCTTATATTATATGCTCTATAAATGTATGCTCTAATTCATTACAAACATCCTATCGCAAGCAGCCACATCAGTTTTTCTATTCAAAAAGTCTGTCAACTATTTTTATCAGACCTTTCTCCATTTAACTTGGGTTAAAATTAACAAAGTCAAGTCAATTACTATTCATCTTCGATTAGATCTAGAGGATAATTCAAAAGAAAAAAGAGCGAAGACGACCAAAGAACGCCTCCTGTTCCACCGTGCAGTTCATCTTCTCCTGCAGCAACCTACCTCTATCAAAAAAAAAGAAGCCAAGGGCTCGAAGGAGAGAGACAATAAAAGAATAGCTCTTTCCATAATTTATACTTCAAAAAAAATAGTTGCAAGAGTTAATAAATTCGAGGCTTAAAACCCTCAAACGAGCCCTAATTATCTTCTTCGGTCGTCTCCTTTGCCTCTTTGGCAATCAAAGCAATCGTCCATAGAGAGAACGTCACCATCAGTGGACCAAATTCCCCTCCATACATGTGTTCTAATAAAAAAATTGTATGCTCTAATAAAAAATGTAATGTATTTTCTATGGTGCCTCCTTATTCTATCACACAATGCACCCTAATTTAATCGGTGAGATGCAATAGCAAGCAATGGATAGTCTATGTTAGTCGGCAAAGATGCAATAGCAAATCCAGTTGTCTGTGGACGGAATTGTGCATAGAAAATTATAAGTCTGTCAAAAATCCGAATATGATGTTAGATTTATCCTCGTCAGTTACGCTAATCCCCTTCACTTAGTGATGCCCGAGTGTTACATGCACTCATCAGACATAACCACCACCCAATAAAGTTTGTCACAACGTCTTTGGCCTTCTACACCTAATAGCAGTAAATGCCAACAACTACGCTGCAGAGTGCCTATGTAAATACCAACTACTACCAGTCACCATCTTAGAATGAAAGGCTTGAGATGAATCTCTCCACACAAGCAAATCTCTCTCTCTCTCTCTCTCTCTCACACACACACATATGTAGAGAGAGAGAGAGAGAGAGAGAGAGAGAGTGCACCTAGTATGCAAATGGCTAACCGTGGCTGTCTGAATGCACCCAACCATAAATAATCAATGAAGAGGAACATGACAAAGCAACACCATCTGGTAGGAGTGAAGTCCTCTTTCCACAATAGATAGAAAATAAACCCCTATAACCTAATAAATCGAAGGACAAAACTTCCGGGCTACATCATTTGTAATGCCAAATGTCCAATCTATACCTCAAGGAAGAAGAACCAACAAGAAGTAGGTAGTTCTAACTGACCTGTGACTAATGATGATGATAGGGAAGATTCCACTAGCACAGTGATCCAAAATGATCAAGAGGAAGCAGAGACTGAAAAACTGGAAAAACAGCATCAACTTTTGAATATTAAATTTGTCTATTACCACCTAAATTAGAATAAGAAATTGCTGCATCTTTGTTGGCTTGCCAAGGATACCCAACCTCACGAGATTATGTTTTAAAGTATCGATCGATATTAATACGAATTAATTAAATTGTATCTGACTTGGCACATTTCGAGACAACATCGTTACATGATCTATATAAATTCCGAGTCTCGCACGACTCAGCCGAGTTATGAGAGTTGTATTTGAGTCAATGTTGAGTCACCGCGTTAGTGTCACAAAATCTACCGATACTTTTTTATGACGTTACGATATAACTTGAATCTCTCGTCATGTTTAATATTTTCTTTGAGGTCGTATTGCTCAATACCGAGCCGTGGTGTTTCATAGCCCTACAAGTTGATGGTCGATACCGCATTCTTAAACGTGATACTCCATACGACAATTTGAAACTGAACCCTCTCCTCTAACGTAAACCCACATGTAGCAACATCTTAGGGAAAAAAATACTAGAATTTTAACAGTAACTAGAAAACAGCAAACAGTAAAAAGAAATTTTCAATAGTATATATATGGCACATGGTGGAAGATTCAAACAGGGAACGTTCAATAAAAGAATGTAAATTGTTTAACTCGAGGTGCATCCACAATATCAAGTGCAACAACAAAATGTCCTCGGTCAAATCTAACAAAAACCATATGGAAGTCTCTCACTCTGGTTCTCTTCATACAACACTTTCACAATCCAATAGAAATATAAGCTCTAGATCCCTCTTGAAAGAAACAAAATTAAAATTAGTTAATAGAAACTCAATAATTGAGCTAAAAACGCTGCCTTAAAAAAGTCCTACCTTCCATACAAAAATAGTACAAATGATTAAAATTACAAGATTTGTGTTATCTGGTGCACGACTGCATAGAACTCTGCATTAAGGGTGGTTCCAATTCAAGCGAAACAGCAAAAAGTGCATCACCCATTTCATTAACGAGGAGCAAAATGAAAATTACTTAGAACCCCCATAGTGCCATCTCATCTCCAATAAAATGTAGCAGTCATTTGTACAGTTATAAGGTAGCAGTAAAGTTTTACATAACATAACAATCATCTTCTAAGTAGTGTACCACCCACTTTAAAGAAACCCATAATTCAATGACAGATGAATATGAAGCTGTAGAAAGAGGCCATGAGTGGAAACAACTATAGCACGATCATCATGTAACCAGATGCAAAAATACTCTATAAGTTATCCTTCCTAAGAATGTAAGTGCTCCAGTTAGTAGCTTTCCTTAGAGGAAGAGAAAGCTGAAGGGAAAGAGACCTCGCCAATGAGTGACATAAAATAAATTATACGAGGGGTAAAATTCTCCAATCATCCCATAAGTGGAGATGATCATCCAAATGAAACAAACAATCTATTCTAAAAAACGAAATAATTGTCAATTCAATGCTAATTTTACATTAATGATTTCATCTCCATTTGATGAAATTTTCATGCCGGTGTCCATCCAAACTTGTGCCGACCAATGTCTCCATTCATGTGGTGGAAAAGATAGCAACACAAATTATGAAACACAAAAAAGTCCAATTCTGTTACCCTAGTCAGAAGCAATGGGATTCACCCCTTGTGTCAAGTCAAGAAATCAGCCTCATCTGTTCTAGTGCCAAGCATGAGTATCTCTCAATATTCTCATTTGCCAAGCATGTGACATTTTTCGTCATTGATTCAAACGGCGTACGATGTGAAGGACCACATTGGTTCAATGTATAAATTTGACGGATTAAATTGACGAAATTAAAATTTTTAGGACCAAAATAGGACAATTGCTAAACTTCAGGGACCACTAGTGTAATTTACTCAAACGGATATATCCAGGATAAGTATATTGCCGCTCTTATAAAACCCGTTAATGGATGAGATAGTGAAGCATGCAACTAGCGACCTATCATCCTACAAACATTAATAGCTCCTATTGACTATGTTTCCCATCCACCCATTAAAAATACGATATTCGCATAAAAAAAAGTAGGAAGAAATATGAAAAAAAGTAAAATAGATGGATAGAACAAACAAATACACTAAATTTTAGGGTGGTTTATGCACGGGATAATTCTTGAAATAGTATGAGACAGAGATCTCCAAGTTGACGAACCTGAAACAATAGGGTCAGAAAAAAGGGGGTCAGGCGAGCGCCCAGCTAATCCCATCCGAAACTTAAATCAGTATAAGGTCGAAGGGTTTTGCTCAACAGACTATTTTTCTGATTCAAGTTTGCGTACCTTTGTCCATTTTTCTTATAAGTATTTATACCTGAATTAGCAATGATTGCCAAAGATCTCCAGTCCCATCTGGACATCTTACATCTGACACACCATTCCTCGTGCAATGAGTGTTTTCTACTCACGTCTCCTCCTATTGAATGCTAGAAAAATGGGGTAAATGCTCAGCCTTTATGCCATTCCTCGAGTGCCCAAATCCCCCAGATCAGCATCCGACATCAACTGAGCATTGAATACTCGGGGGAAACAGTTCCTCAGGGGAGCCGATCATGTCGTCTTAGCGCATCAGTCATTAATGTTTAGTCATCATGACAGTAGACTCAGACTCGCAGAGGGCAGGTGTTGGCAGGCGCGCATTTATTTGTCTTGTCACTATCAATCATTCCGTCATAAATGAGGGGTCACATCGCATTAAATACGATGTCAGCTATCGTACTCGGCTGCTCCGTGTCACCATACCTCAGCTTACCTCCTCGGTGCCCTTTGGACATCCCAACGACTTTATTATTCCACGTGTCAACTCGGGGACTGTAGAGCCACCTAGAGTCCCGCCAACTACCCCCCAACCGCCATCCTTTTTGCAGTGTAAGACAAGTGGCGTAAAGAGATTGGGGCTCTATCATCACGCCTTATTAATAGCGATGGTTACTTGCACGTCTGGTGCCGCCCTTTTCAAATGCCCTAATGATGACCCAACTTTTCGATTCTCGCTCCCTGTAAGGTAGTAAAAATTGAAGATTTTCATACCTTCTCAGAACTTTTGCATCCTCAACCTCTCTTCAGCAATCAGACCCCGAGTGCTCTTCTGTTCTCCTCCGAGTTTCCTTCGTCCTCCAAGCTCTCTCTTTGAAGACCACCTTCCTGTAAGTATTTTCACTTGAGCTTTTTCTCTCTTCATTTCTTCTACATTTAGTCCTTTTAGCGCCCACCAATGGCTAGAACTAGTAGAACCAGGGGGGAGATGTCTGTTAGGGCTAGGACTATCCACAAGGTAAGGAGAACCCAAGTAACTGACGAGAATATCCAAGCCTTTAAGGTTAGGTATCACATCCATGAGCCTGTTTTTGTTTTTCACTTCGACCCCACTCACCTTAGGTGGGATATGGGAAATGTGGACATGATGCCTTTCTGGACGAAGGCCATCATGGACTGAGGGTTGACCTTCCCCCTCCATCCCCTGTTGCTGGGAGTGTTGATGCAACTGAAGCTATTTCCCCTTCAATGTGAAGTTAACTTCTTTAGGATTGTGATGGGTGTAGTCGCCTTAAACGTTTGGCTGGGGACCAACTTAGGAGTAGATGAAATCTTATTCTGCTACAACCTGAGGCTGGTCGCCGGGGGGCGATATTACCTCCAGGCTCGAGATGCCTCAATGTATTTGGTAACCCACATGCCCGACTCGGACAAGGAGTATGTAAACGATCTAATCATGCTCGGCAGAAGTTGGGAGAAAAGGACCGGACCCAAGTATGACGGATTGTACTGCCC